ATGATATAGCAAAGCCACAACCGACCAAAACTGCTCCACAGTCACATGAGGCGGAAAACAACAGTGAAAGAACAGGTGATGAAACTTAGAACGGGTGAGGACAGGTAAACAGAGAATAACAGAAGTGTGTGAAGAACTCAACAAGAGATTAACGGAGGTCTTCTCAGTGGAACGATGTGAAGTCCCTGAACTAAGAGAGGTGGCAGTAAACCAGGCGGCCTTGGAAAGGTTCGAAATTACCAGAGATGAGGTCAAGAGGCTTCCGCTACACATAAGGGGCATAACTGGCCGACCCCTCACAGTGTTCAAGAGAGAACTGGATAAGCCCCTCCAAAGGATACCTGATCAACCAGGCTGTGACTCATACGTCAGACTGCGAGCAGCCGCGTCTAACAGCCTGGTTGATCAGTTCAGCAACCAGGAGGCCTGGTCGACGACCGGGCCGCGGGGACACTAAGCCCCAGAAGCACCTCAAGGTAGCCTCAAGGTAGAGGCATCTGTTGGATCTGGACGTGAGAAAGGCTGTTGGGCCAGACGGAATCTCATCATGGGTACTGAAAGAGTGTGCAGAAGCACTGCTTGCCACTCGCCATAGTGTATAGTTCTATCATGCACCAGCTTTGGTCCTGCAAAATGACAAAAGTATTGATAGACTGGAAAAAATGCAAAATGAGGCACTCAGAATTCTATTTGGCTGTCCTATAACTACCAAAGTTCTCAACATGCGGAAAGAATTAAATATACTTAGCATTCGAGATAGAACATTTGAAATCAACCTTATGATGGGACTAAAGCTTCTGCGTGATAACAAAAACAACATTGTGTCAGTTGAACTGTTAGAACACATACGAAATGGAACTAGCGAGTCTAAATGGATTCAAAGAACAGCCACTCATTAAAATGATGGGACTGCACGATGTATATACAGATGAAAGAGTACAGCACTTCCTTCCACCCTGGCAGATAGTACCTTTTGACATCCTGACCCCTGCATACCCCACCAAGAAACTAATCACAAGCAACCCTCATGCTCAGCTTGCTGCTAAATTAAGCACCATAGAACACATTCACAATATACAAACTGAAAACAACATAGCACAGACCATATACACTGACGGATCACTCAATACAGCTACAGGGAGGGCAGGAAGTGCTGTTATTGCTCATCAGCCCGATGGCAGCACAATTCAAAGAAATATAAGAATTAGTAACTGGGCATCCACAATGCAAGCCGAGTTGGTAGCAATACTGGTAGCACTCGAAATTATTGACAACACTGAAGTAGACAGCTTAATTATTTCCTACTCCCTTTCCTCACTACGAACAATAAACAGTTTGGAATCAAGCAATAACGTGCTTGTCTTGGAAGCCAGATATAGATATATAAGCATACTTAACAACGGGGTATATATAAAAATGTTGTGGATTCCTTCTCACATTGGCCTGCAGGAACATGACAAAGTTGACGCCCTTGCTAAGGCTGCAGTAAATAAAGACAGTATTGAACGGAATCTTGAGTTATCAAATAGGTCTCTTAAAAGTGTCATTAGACGAGAACTCCTGGATGGATTTGAAGAAAGCAGAACAGTGCAAACTGGAACTAGCAGGTCCATTGTTCATCACAATGAAATGTGTGAAGTAAAACATGTGTATGGGGCAAGTAACAAAGTCAGTAGACTAACAGATGTTGTCACAGCTCGTATAAGACTTGGCTACAAGTATCTCTGGCAGTTCGGCTTGTATAGGGATCTAGATGAAGTAAAGTGTAAAGTGTGTGGACAAAGACACGGACACACACTCGAACACTATATCTTGGATTGTAGTAAAATTGAGCCATTTAGAGATAAATCTAAGCTCACTCTGTATGATATGGCAACCGTTCTTATTACCATGGATAAAATACCTGAAATCCTTGCACTGTATCCACATTTTGCTTCCAGTAGATGAACGACATATGAGATTGGGAAGCAAGTAGTGTATTGTGAGGACTAATAATAAACAGAAGCTCCCCTATGACTCTGTAATATCCCCATTGGCCAAACTATTATGTATTAACGATAAAACCTACCATTAATGTATGATGACTTACTGTAAATATGTAGCTCTTGTAATAGCACTTTCTCTGTAACTAGCTGACATTGTATCTATAAGGTGTGAAGGATTGAAGAAATTGTTTATGTAATAATCTAAGATGAGGTCTGATAAAGACCTTTTGTGCCCTCTGTAATGCTTTTGCGCTACCGCTCACAGGATGAGTATGGGGTTACCTTACCTTGAGGTGATTCCGGGGCTTAGCGTCCCCGCGGCCCGGTCGTCGACCAGGCCTCCTGGTTGCCGGACTGGTCAACCAGGCTGTTGGACGCGGCTGCTCGCAGCCTGACGTATGAGTCACAGCTTGGTTGATCAGGTATCCTTTGGAGGTGCTTATCCAGTTCTCTCTTGAACACTGTGAGGGGTCGGCCAGTTATGCCCCTTATGTGTAGTGGAAGCGTGTTGAACAGTCTCGGGCCTCTGATGTTGATAGTTCTCTCTCAGAGTACCCGTTGCACCTCTGCTCTTCAACGGGGGTATTCTGCACATCCTGCCATGTCTTCTGGTCTCATGTGATGTTATTTCTGTGTGCAGGTTTGGGATCAGCCCCTCTAATATTTTCCACGAGTAAATTATTATGTATCTCTCCCGCCTGCGATCAAGGGAGTACAGATTTAGGCTCTTTAGTCGGTCCCAATAGTTTAGATGTTTTACAGAGTGGATTCTAGCAGTAAAGGATCTCTGCACAATAACAACAATAAACTACTACATTAAACTAGCCGCCTCCGGCGGCAACAATCAAAATCAATACCAGAAAGTTGGAAGACAGCCATAATGTAGTCCCAGTACTCTAGCGTACCACCTTGTCTCCCAGTACTCTAGCGTACCACCTTGTCTCCCAGTACTCTAGCGTACCACCTTGTCTCCCAGTACTCTAGCAGGGAGACACACAGAAGGTACTGAACTACAGGCATACCTGGACTAAGGTGCATACCATGCAAGGTTATGGAGAAGAGTGTGAGGAGAACTAGCAGAAGATCTGGAGTGAGAGAACTTTGTAACACCACCACCACCACCAGCGTGGGACTCAGGGATGGTAAATCTTGCCTCAAAGGTTTAATTAAGAAAGTGTAGGGAGACAGATTATATTTTTGGACTGTCAGAAAGCCTTTGACACAAAAACCCATAAAAAGTTGCTGCACAAGTTAAAGATGCAGACATGAGTGACAGGGAAGCACTCAAGGGGTCAAGGGAGTACCTAAGCAAAGGAGGACAGAGCGTCACTGTTTAGGGTGAGGTCTCAGAGGGGCGAGATGCCATTAGCCAAGTCACACAGGGTTCAGTTCTCGAATTAATCCTGTTCCTAATATATGTAAATGAACTTTCAGAGGGAATAGATTAATTTCTTTCAATGTTTGCTTAAGACAGAGGAAGACAGCAGGAGGCTGCAAGATGACCTGGACAAACTGAAGGAATAGTCCAACAAATGGCATCGAGAGTATAACTCAAGCAACTGTAAGGTAATGAAACTAAGAGAAGGAACCTGGAGGCCACAAACAAGGAATCAATTGGGAGATGAAATCCTTCAAGAGACGGACAGACAGACGGATCTCGGGGTGGATATCACACCTGTCTCCTGAAGTCCTGAGTGAAAGTGACAGTGTAAAATTGTGTAGTAATACTTAGAGATATAATTATATGTTCGTATCCTGGCCGGGGAGGATTTACTGGGCGCAATTCCTTAACTGTAGCCTCTGTTTAACGCAACAGTAAAATGTGTACTTGGATGAAAAAACGATTCTTCGCGGCAGGGGATCGTATTCCAGGGACCATAGGATTAAGGACTTGCCCGAAACGCTACGCGTACTAGTGGCTGTACAAGAATGTAACAACTCTTGTATATATCACCAAAAAAAAAATATATATATATATTATATATATATACATTATATATATATATATATATATATATATATATATATATATATATGTCGTACCTAGTAGCCAGAATGCACTTCTCGGCCTACTTTGCAAGGCCCGATTTGCCTAATAAGCCAAGTTTTCCTGAATTAATATATTGTCTTTTATTTTTTTCTTATGAAATGATAAAGCTACCCATTTCATTATGTATGAGGTCAATTTTTTTTTATTGGAGTTAAAATTAACGTAGATATATGACCGAACCTGACCAACCCTACCTAACCTAACCTAACCTATCTTTATAGGTTAGCTTACGTTAGGTAGCCGAAAAAGTTAGGTTAGGTTAGGTTAGGTAGGTTAGGTAGCCGAAAAAGTTAGGTTAGGTTAGGTTAGGTAGGTTAGGTAGACGAAAAACAATTAATTCATGAAAACTAGGCTTATTAGGCAAATCGGGCCTTGCATAGTAGGCTGAGAAGTGCGTTCTGGCTACTAGGTACGACATATATATATATATATATATATATATATATATATATATATATATATATATATATATATATATATATATATATATATATATATATATATATATATATTAGTGAAGTTGATAATATATTGGTGAAGGTGTAATTACGTATAATTTATCCCCCCATTATTCCTTGCACTACTACTGGCCACAGCCAGTTCTGGAAACTTACCATCAACTTGGGGTTGCATCAAGATGAAGACGTTATAAGACACGTTAACAGCCAGTACCTCCTTACTGGCCCAAGCTGCCCTAACAACACGACCTCGTCACTGTCAATACTAAACAATAGTGTCAATTGTGATCATAATTGAGATCTCACAATCAACGAAACCCTCACTATCAATAGGTGACAGCATTATCAAGTGCTATTTCGTCATCAATGAAGCCCTCACCACCAACGGAGCCCTCACCACCAACGGAGCCCTCACCACCAACGGAGCCCTCACCACCACCAACGGCGCCCTCACCACCACCAACGGAGCCCTCACCACCAACGGAGCCCTCACCACCACCAACGGAGCCCTCACCACCAACGGAGCCCTCACCACCAACGGAGCCCTCACCACCAACGGAGCCCTCACCACCAACGGAGCCCTCACCACCAACGGAGCCCTCACCACCAACGGAGCCCACACCACCAACGGAGCCCACACCAACGGTGCCCTCACCACCAACGGAGCCCTCACCACCAACGGAGCCCTCACCACCAACGGAGCCCACACCACCAACGGAGCCCACACCAACGGTGCCCTCACCACCAACGGAGCCCTCACCACCAACGGAGCCCTCACCACCAACGGAGCCCACACCAACGGAGCCCTCACCACCAACGGAGCCCTCACCACCAACGGAGCCCTCACCACCAACGGAGCCCTCACCACCAACGGAGCCCTCACCACCAACGGAGCCCTCACCACCAACGGAGCCCTCACCACCAACGAAGCCCTCACCACCAACGGAGCCCTCACCACCAACGGAGCCCTCACCACCAACGGAGCCCTCACCACCAACGGAGCCCTCACCACCAACGGAGCCCTCACCACCAACGGAAGCCCTCACCAACGAAGCCCTCACCACCAACGGAGCCCTCACCACCAACGGAGCCCTCACCACCAACGGAGCCCTCACCACCAACGGAGCCCTCACCACCAACGGAGCCCACACCACCAACGGAGCCCACACCAACGGAGCCCTCACCACCAACGGAGCCCTCACCACCAACGGAGCCCTCACCATCAACGGAGCCCTCACCACCATCGGAGCCCTCACCACCAACGGAGCCCTCACCACCAACGGAGCCCTCACCACCAACGGAGCCCACACCACCAACGGAGCCCTCACCACCAACGGGGCCCACACCACCAACGGAGCCCACACCAACGGAGCCCTCACCACCAACGGGGCCCACACCACCAACGGAGCCCTCACCACCAACGGAGCCCACACCACCAACGGAGCCCTCACCACCAACGGAGCCCTCACCACCAACGGAGCCCTCACCACCAACGGAGCCGTCACCACCAACGGAGCCCTCACCACCAACGGAGCCCTCACCACCAACGGAGCCCTCACCACCAACGGAGCCCTCACCACCAACGAAGCCCTCACCACCAACGGAGCCCTCCCCACCAACGGAGCCCTCACCACCAACGGAGCCCTCACCACCAACGGAGCCCTCACCACCAACGGAGCCCTCACCACCAATGGAGCCCTCACCACCAACGGAGCCCTCACCACCAACGGAGCCCTCACCGCCAACGGAGCCCTCACCACCAACGGAGCCCTCACCACCAACGAAGCCCTCACCACCAACGGAGCCCTCACCACCAACGGAGCCCTCACCACCAACGTAGCCCTCACCACCAACGGAGCCCTCACCACCAACGGAGCCCTCACCACCAACGGAGCCCTCACCACCAACGGAGCCCTCACCACCAACGGAGCCCTCACCACCAACGGAACCCTCACCACCAACGAAGCCCTCACCACCAACGGAGCCCTCACCACCAACGGAGCCCTCACCACCAACGGAGCCCTCACCACCAACGGAGCCCTCACCACCAACGGAGCCCTCACCACCAACGGAGCCCTCACCACCAACGGAGCCCTCACCACCAACGGAGCCCTCACCACCAACGAAGCCCTCATCACCAACGAAGCCCTCACCACCAACGAAGCCCTCACCACCAACGAAGCCCTCACCACCAACGGAGCCCTCACCACCAACGGAGCCCTCACCACCAACGGAGCCCTCACTGCTGCTGCAATATCAGATTTACCGGGCTATATATATATATATATATATATATATATATATATATATATATATATATATATATATATATATATATATATATATATATATATATATATATATATAATATATATATATATATATATTGTATTTACATTATAACATGAATTTTAACATCATATTATGTATTTTAACGTGCACTTGAAAAATATATATTGTATTTAAATGCCATTAGAGATGCACTTTCCCCTTGAATAAATCACTTGCGATAAATATATGATAAAGCATACTTAATTTTTTCCTACAAAATATTCCATTAAGTTTGTTGCTAAATTACGAGGATATTTCGTGATTTTTTTCATAGTGTTTATTTAAAGATTTATTTAAAGTGATTTATTTAGGGGAAAGTGCATCTTTAAGTGCTCGCACATGCAAAATATATATTTTTTGAGCAAGTTTATGTTACTGTGGAAGAAAATACAATATATTGAATGTGGTCGAGGACCAACAACACTTGTCCTGTGGTAATGCCAACTGTGGTAATGCCAACTGTGGTAATGCCAACTGTGGTAATGTGTGTATAGAATATCTAACACACTTTGAGTTAGGAACACAGTTTCGTCCCCGTGCTGATACATCACTTTAAAATGTTCCCCCATTTTGCACCCGCTAGATAACGTAAGATTGGGGGTGGGTAAATGTTAATCTTCTTGTTTGAGGAGCTGTTCACTTGAGACAGTTAAGCAAGTCCCAGCTGTGTCTGGGTACAAGTGACAGGATGAACAACCCAGCGGGTTTTCTTCCTATTGGGGAGTGTTGTACATGCTGCTATGGCGGTGTGTCCACTCACAGGATGACTGGCGCTGCCCAATACTGTCACTATGGCGGTGTGTCGACTCACAGGATGAGTGGCGCTGCCTAATACTGTCACTATGGCGGTGTGTCCACTCACAGGAAGAGTGGCGCTGCCCAATACTGTCACTATGGCGGTGTGTCCACTCACAGGATGAGTGGCGCTGCCCAATACTGTCACTATGGCGGTGTGTCCACTCACAGGATGAGTGGCGCTGCCCAATACTGTCACTATGGCGGTGTGTCCACTCACAGGATGAGTGGCGCTGCCCAATACTGTCACTATGGCGGTGTGTCCACTCACAGGATGAGTGGCGCTGCCCAATACTGTCACTATGGCGGTGTGTCCACTCACAGGATGAGTGGCGCTGCCCAATACTGTCACTATGGTGGTGTGTCCACTCACAGGAAGAGTGGCGCTGCCCAATACTGTCACTATGGCGGTGTGTCCACTCACAGGATGAGTGGCGCTGCCCAATACTGTCACTATGGCGGTGTGTCCACTCACAGGATGAGTGGCGCTGCCCAATACTGTCACTATGGCGGTGTGTCCACTCACAGGATGAGTGGCGCTGCCCAATACTGTCACTATGGCGGTGTGTCCACTCACAGGATGAGTGGCGCTGCCCAATACTGTCACTATGGCGGTGTGTCCACTCACAGGATGAGTGGCGCTGCCCAATACTGTCACTATGGCGGTGTGACCACTCACGAGATGAGTGGCGCTGCCCAATACTGTCACTATGGTGGTGTGTCCACTCACAGGATGAGTGGCGCTGCCCAATACTGTCACTATGGTGGTGTGTCCACTCACAGGATGAGTGGCGCTGCCCAATACTGTCACTATGGCGGTGTGTCCACTCACAGGATGAGTGGCGCTGCCCAATACTGTCACTATGGCGGTGTGACCACTCACGAGATGAGTGGCGCTGCCCAATACTGTCACTATGGTGGTGTGTCCACTCACAGGATGAGTGGCGCTGCCCAATACTGTCACTATGGTGGTGTGTCCACTCACAGGATGAGTGACGCTGCCCAATACTGTCACTATGGTGGTGTGTCCACTCACAGGATGAGTGGCGCTGCCCAATACTGTCACTATGGCGGTGTGACCACTCACGAGATGAGTGGCGCTGCCCAATACTGTCACTATGGTGGTGTGTCCACTCACAGGATGAGTGGCGCTGCCCAATACTGTCACTATGGCGGTGTGTCCACTCACAAGATGAGTGGCGCTGCCCAATACTGTCACTATGGCGGTGTGTTCACTCACAAGATGAGTGACGCTGCCCAATACTGTCACTATGGCGGTGTGTCCACTCACAAGATGAGTGGCGCTGCCCAATACTGTCACTATGGCGGTGTGTCCACTCACAGGATGAGTGGCGCTGCCCAATACTGTCACTATGGCGGTGTGTCCACTCACAGGGTGAGTGACGCTGCCCAATATTGACCCAATGACAGTGTGTTCACTCACAGGATGAGTGACGCTGCCCAATACTGTCACTATGGCGGTGTGTCCACTCACAGGATGAGTGACGCTGCCCAATATTGACCCAATGACGGTGTGTTCACTCACAGGATGAGTGACGCTGCCCAATACTGTCACTATGGCGGTGTGTCCACTCACAGGATGAGTGGCGCTGCCCAATACTGTCACTATGGCGGTGTGTCTACTCACAGGATGAGTGACGCTGCCCAATATTGACCCAATGACGGTGTGTTCACTCACAGGATGAGTGACGCTGCCCAATAAACTTGCCCCTCGAGACATAGTTATAATAATAAACACATCGCTGGCCTGGTAACATCGCTAGTTACTAATAGAGTAACAGATGGCAGCACGTTATCTCACTACGCACTTCCATTTATTTAATGTAATTAATGTTAATAATGTAAAATAATAAAAAAAACTTATATATTTGTGAATTTTATGTAAAGAATATTCAGCAAATTTTTCGCACTCTGCTGAGTGCTTCGTCCAGGTCGGAGTGGGTGGTAAGGACCGGACGTCTAACGAGGCTGTTATCCTAGCTCCAATCCTCTTATCCTTCGTGACCGAAACCACTGCCTATTATGAACGTGTTTCCCATGTTATTATGTCTGGGATAAGACATTTCCATTACTACTAATGGTAATAATACAGATGCTAATAATAATTGACTCACAAAGGATACTGCGGCTCCGGTTACAGTGATTACTTAGCGAGTACAGTATTGATATATTTTACAAGCCAAAAATTATGCAGCCATCAGATACGCGAATGTAAAAAAAATATTTGGCAGAAAATGGGTGAATAATTTGTTATGGGCTGCGAGGGCCGGCGTGCCTGGCCGTGGGGAATACGGAGCCCACCCAGACGGCAAGAACAACACGTGTTAAGTCTGGGTTCATAATATTTGTGGAGCAGCTGAGGAGGGCTCCAGGTGGCCCTCGCCGCCTGCCTCGACCCCCGGCCTGGCACACATGGTGCCGGTGTGAGTGCCAGGCTCTCCTCGCCTGGCACTGCAGGGTTGAGGTGTGTGGCGTTGCATCAGCGTCGTGTAGATAGCAGATTTCCCTTATTGAGATCAAGTCACGTTCACACCTCAGTATTGAGGGCTTGGCGGACGCCGCCCCGCCCCCGCACGCGGCGCAACCAATCACGGCCCGCCGGCGCCAGTGGGCGGAGTCTGCGGCGCGAACAGCTGCTGGATTGGTGGAGCGGTAGAGGGGGCGGGACCAGTGGCGGCCGAGGGGGAGGAGCCTGGCGAGGAACAGGGTGGGCAGTACAAGAAGATCTCAATACCATTACAGACGGACAGTAACAGCTAAACCGTGGGGGCAGGAGGCAGGTTCCGCGGCCAGTGACACTCCGGACACCCATTATGGATTTTGATTTGTATCCAATTGTTGCGTGTGTGAAGGATTAGGGCGTGGCGGCGCCCTGGACCCACGCCCTGTTGTACTGACCATGTTAAGCGTGGCCGCGTGGGACGCCCGCTCAGCCATGGCCCGCACGCCACTCAAACACGCCTTCTCCATCAACTCCATCCTGCCGGAGACGGCGCTCGACAACCCCACCGCCATTCCTAGGGACGTGCCCAAGGACGAGCTCCTCATGGACGACGTGGAGATGACCACAGCGGACGACGACGACGACGACGAGGTGGACATTGACGTGACGGGCGCCGTCAGCCCCGGCGCCATGTCCGAGTCGGAGGCCGAGGACCACACCGACAAGGACGACAAAGACGTCAAGAAAGACGAGGAGAAGAAAGACGGAGAGGAGAAGAAGAAGCACGAGAAGCCGCCCTTCAGCTACAACGCCCTCATCATGATGGCCATCAGGTCATCGCCCGAGAAGCGGCTCACCCTCAACGGCATCTACGAGTTCATCATGAAGAACTTCCCGTATTACCGGGAGAACAAACAAGGGTGGCAGAACTCCATCCGTCACAACTTGAGTCTTAACAAGTGTTTTGTTAAGGTTCCCCGTCACTACGACGACCCGGGCAAGGGCAACTACTGGATGCTCGACCCCTCGGCCGACGACGTGTTTATCGGCGGCACCACGGGCAAGCTGCGGCGCCGCTCCACCACAGCTTCCCGCAACCGCTTGGCCGCCTTCAAGCAGTCCCTTCTCGGCCGCTTCGGCTGCTATCCACCCTTCGGCCTGGCGCCGTACGCTGCGGCTGCGGCCGCCGCAGGGCTCGGGGGAGCGCTGGCACCGGGCTCACTCCCCGTGTCCCTGCCAGGGGCTCTCCCGGGATCCCTGGCCTCAACTCCCCTGTATCAGCAAGCCACGGCTGCCGCAGCTGCCGCAGCCGCACTCTACCGCGGGTACTCTCCCTCGTACTATACCAGCCCGCTGCCCGCGGGTCCAGCCCCGCTGACGGGCCCAGCGCCGCCCGCGGGCCTCCCAAAGCCCACCGCCCTCACGCCCGCAGCCTCCCACCCGCCAACCACGTCGTTCAGCGTGGACCGCTTGCTGGCCGACACGCCCGTGAGTGGGCCGCCGTCGACGCTGGGCGGCCACCCATCCCTCCTGCTGGGCGGCCTGGCCGGAGCTCACGCCCTCTCCCACTACGACGTTTACCGGAACTCCCTGCTCTCCCAGGCGGGCCTCGGCCACACCCTGGGGGGCATGACCGCCGCCCTCGGCCCTGGCATGGTGGGCGGCGGCCTGGGGGTGGCGGGGGTCGGAGCCCCAGGCAGCCCCAGCACCAGCGTCGTCACCACCACCAGCAGCGACGGGACGGCCCGCCAGCCCGTATTCAAACCCGTGACGGTTGTGGCGCGGCCCAGCTAGTCGGGCCGCAGTGGGCGGCCACGGTGGGCGGCCACGGTGGGCGGCCGCTGTGGGCGGCCACGGTGGGCGGCCACGGTGGGCGGCCAGGGGAGCTGTATATACTGTATGTATGTATGTCTGGTGTGTTGTCTTCAGTCCCTGACTGTGGCGCGCGCCAACGTTGTACAGCACTATGTGTATAAAAGTTGTAAATTATATATCGTAAAATAATAATTATTAAGACAGTTACGTGTTTTCTTACAAGCCTGCTGAACCAGCCCACGGTCCCTGCCCCTAGCCCACGGTCCCTGCCCCTAGCCCGCGCCTAGCTCCTGCCCTTAGCCCGCGCCTAGCCCCTGTCCCGCGCCTAGCTCCTGCCCCTAGCCCGCGCCTAGCCCCTGCTCCAGGCTCCCTACTTTCATTCCGCTCATATACTTGTTGAGGCCGCTTTCTCATTTCCTTGTTCGGCCTTCTAGTCCTCGCTATAGCTTGCCTCGCCTCCTTGCGCAGTCAGCTCCTAGCCTCTAGCCACGTATTTCCATCTCCCTTCCCTCCCTCCTATCAATGCTCGACGAGCTCCTTGCCTCCTCGTGGGCAACACACCTATCCTCTGTTCCTATCCATCTGCTACCTGTCTCTCCCTACGCGCTAGTAGCCCTGTACTACCGCGAACACACACTAACAAGTCATCAGTTGTCTGAAATCTATCTATTAACACCAGCGCGGATGGAGCTGTCTACGTAATAAACCATATTTTATAAAAGACATTTTCCAACGAACTCTAGAGCAGCTGTCAAGTGTCCGGCCCGCTGGGTGTGTTCAGCACGTGCCTGTGTCCGCCGTCAAGGCTCTGCGCATGTGTCCTGAGCTCTCTGGTGGCCCCGCTACACACACACACACACACACACCGTCCCTTATGCTGCACCACTTCACCACTTGCCTCCTCCACTGCTACACTCCCTAATCACCCACAAATGAAATTTAATCTACAATTTCCAACTAAAATTAAAATGTTTGCTAGCTTATATATATATATATATATATATATATATATATATATATATATATATATATATATATATATATATATATATATATATATATATATATATATATATATATAAAAATGTAACTCAATATTCTGCTAAGACTGCTGGATGCCTACTCAATATTCTGCTAAGACTGCTGGATGCCTACTACTAATGTCATGCCAAATAGTCAGAACCGTAATACTTGGCCTAGAAGGCAAGATCCGATTAGACTAACAGGCCAAATGATTTTAGTTATTTTAAAATATTTCTTTCCGGATTGGTTCTTTCTAATAATAATACTCTGTTATATTAAGGGCATCAATTATAGACAGTAAGGTTATGTAAGGATAGGATAGGTTAGGTTAGGTTAGGTAGGTAAGGTTGGGTTAGGTAGGTTAAGTAAGATGAAATTCCTGTTAGTTTTCAATGAAATTAAAAAAAAATCAATTATGTATTGTAATTGAAAGCTGAATATATAATAAAAAATAATTGAGAAATATATTATTTCAGGAAAATTGGGCTTCTTACGCAACTTGGCCTATTAGGTATACAAAATATATATATATATATATATATATATATATATATATATATATATATATATATATATATATATATATAATATTATATATATAATATATATTAGGGATACCACCTCTGATGCAATTGTAGGGACCCACAGCCTTGAAGAAGAAAATAAAGAGTATTCAGAAAAGACCTTGTGGAGTGTCACTAAACACTTTAATCTTTTCCCCTCATACCACCCCTATTTTTATATATATATATATATATATATATATATATATATATATATATATATATATATATATATATATATATATATATATATATATATATATATATATATATATATATATGTCGTACCTAGTAGCCAGAACTCACTTCTCAGCCTACTATTCAAGGCCCGATTTGCCTAATAAGCCAAGTTTTCCTGAATTAATATATTTACTATAATTTTTTTCTTATGAAATGATAAAGCAACCCTTTTCACTATGTATGAGGTCAATTTTTTTTTATTGGAGTTAAAATTAACGTAGATATATGACCGAACCTAACCAACCCTACCTAACCTAACCTAACCTATCTTTATAGGTTAGGTTAGGTTAGGTAGCCGAAAAAGTTAGGTTAGGTTAGGTTAGGTAGGTTAGGTCGTCGAAAAACAATTAATTCATGAAAAGTTGGCTTATTAGGCAAATCGGGCCTTGCATAGTAGGCTGAGAAGTGCGTTCTGGCTACTAGGTACGACATATATATATATATATATATATATATATATATATATATATATATATATATATGCAGAATAACCACATATGAAAAATAGAAAATGCTTAACGCGTTTTCGGCTAATTCGCCTTCATCAGAGCAAAGTAGAATGAGGATAAGATTGCTGATCAGACCTTTATATCCGCCTGGGCAGATCACCTGACCACCAAAAATAAGTGGAGGAAAGGAATTATAAATATAGCGAGCCCCGGTATGTACAAGTAAAAAAGAGCCCCGGTATGTACAAGTTGGATCCCTATTTAAGCCTCAATATAGCACGTCAAAACAATATAGCAATCATTTAAACACGTATAGCACTTGGAGATATTAATAGGAGCTGCCTTGTATGGGCCAATAGGCCTTCTGCAGTTACCTCCTTTCTTATAATTCCTTTCCTCCACTTATTTTTGGTGGTCAGGTGATCTGCCCAGGCGGATATAAAGGTCTGATCAGCAATCTTATCCTCATTCTACTTTGCTCTGATGAAGGCGAATTAGCCGAAAACGCGTTAAGCATTTTCTATTTTTCATATGTGGTTATTCTGCATACTTGGTTAGTGTTTTTGTGATCATTGTTGCATATATATATATATATATATATATATATATATATATATATATATATATATATATATATATATATATATATATATATATATATATATATATAAGTTATTGTTGAATATGACAGAAAGTGTAAGATTAATAATTCTAACACGAATCTTCTCAATATTTCGTACGTTCTTCTTCACTGTCGAAGGTAATAGATAAATTAACTCTCCAAAATTCCATTCTTTATTTCTGGTCTGATGCCTGAACACATTTCGTAATGCTTATTACGTTTTCAAAGACTTAGTTTACACATAAAATACATCATACATCGTTTTGGGTGAGGTGACAGAGAATATGCCAGAACACGAAACAATGGGTATAAATTGAGTATGAAAAACATTAGAATGGAAGTAACTACAGAAGGCCTATTGGCCCATACTTCCTCTTGCTGCTTCTATGTTGGTTCAGGGTCTTGAAGTGGGTGGAATATAGTTGTGCATTAGTTGGCTGTTAATTGCTGGTGTTGACTTTTTGATGTGTAGTGCCTCGCTGATGTCGAGTCTCCTGCTATCGCTGTATTTATCGATGATTTCTGTGTTGCTTTTTAAGATTTCTCTGGTGATGGTCTGGTTGTGAGAAGAGATTATATGTTCCTTTATGGAGCCCTGTTGTTTGTGCATTGTTAATCGCCTGGAAAGAGATACCCTTTCAGTCATATTCAACAACATATGTTTACAAGAAAGACCGCTCCCAATATATTATATATTATATATTATATATATATATATATATATATATATATATATATATATATATATATATATATATATATATATATATATCGTGTTTCAATTTTAGAGGGGAAATAGAGGAATTTAATGTTTATTTACTCATTACCTAATTCGTGTCTTAAACTTGTAAATATATGGATTATATTGAAGGCCTGCAGTGGCTCCTTTGTTGGTACTACTGTTGACACTACCGTTGGTACTACTGTTGACACTACCGTTGGTACTACTGTTGACACTACCGTTGACACTACTGTTGACAATTGTTGGTACTACTGTTGACACAACTGTTGGTACTACTGTTGGTTCTACTGTTGGCACTACTGATGAGACTACCTGGATCATACCTGGTTGATGGGGTTCTGGGAGCTCTTCTAAACCCCAAGCCCGACCTGAGGCCAGGCTCAACTTGTAATAACTTGATCCACCAGGCTGTTACTTGGAGCGGCCCGCAGGCCCACATATCCAACTGGACCTGGCTGGTCCGGCACTTCTTGCAAGAACTTAAGTGGCTCTTGAATACATCCACCTCTGTTTCAGCAATATTGCTAATGCTTGCTGGGAGGGTGTTGAACACCTGTGGACCTCTGATGTTCAGACTGTGTTCTCTGAATGTGCCTATGGCACGTCTACTCTTCACTTTTTCTATTCTGTTTTGCTTCCATACCTTTCGTTACAGTATGTTGTTATTCTTCTGTGTAAATTTGGGACCTGGCCTTCAAGTATCTTCCCTGTATATATTATTTGATACCTTTCTCGTCTCCTTTCCAGCGAGAATATTTTGATAACTTTGAGACGGTCCCAATAATTTAGATGCTTTATCGTTTCTGTGCGTGCCGTATAAGTTCTCTGTCTTCTCTCTAATTCAGAGATCTCTCTGGAAGGGGAAGTGAGTACCGAGCAATACTCAAGACGGGACATCACCAGTGATTTAAATAGTATTACCATTACTGTGGGGTCTCTGGATTTGAACGTTCTCATAACCCATCCTATCATTGTCCTGGCCGCCGCCGCTATATTTGCTCGGTTATGTTCACTAAAAGTTAGGTCGTCAGACATCATAATTCCCAGATCTTTTACCTGTTGCTCTCCTTCTGAGTAGGTCTAATTGTGTCCTGTACCCTGTGCTTCGTTTAACTTTTTCATTTCCACCATACCTTACCCTGAGGTTACCCTGAGGTGCTTCCGGGGCTTAGCGTCCCCGCGGGCCCGAAGTTCCCAGCCCATACCTAAGTTCCTGTAACTTGTCACCGTTAATAGTCATGTAATTTTCACTTGAGCAATCGAATACCTTATTAATATCCGCCTGAAGGTTTTCAGTCTCTCCAACACAGGAAATTTTCATGCTGATTTCTGTACCATCTGCAAAGGATGACACGAAGCTGCGACTAGTATTCTCGTCTA